GCTGGTCTTAGTGGGGGGGGGGTGAGGAAGAAGAGGGACTGTGCTGAATGCCCTCCTGGGAAGGGAGGCTGTGCTCCCAGCTCTGAAAGGGGGCTGCAGGAGGAGTCCCTAGCCAGGGAGGAGCCGGAAGTCCCTGCCCATAGCAGGTGGGGCTGCACCGGCAGGGCAGGGCAGGGCAGGGCACGGCAGGAGAGGGGAGGAATTGGAAAGAAGGCAGCAGGGGGAGTTAAGATATGCAGAGGGAGGCACATGAGATGCTTGGGAGAAAGGAAAGGCTCAATCCCAGCGAGGGAGGGTGGATGGGGAAGCGGCTTCAGGAGCCTTCTGCAGAGGGTAGGGGGGTCCTACCCCCTACACTGTGCTGCCTCTGGGTCAGTGGGCAGCCCTGCCCAGAGGGCCGGGGTAGGAGGCAAGCCCAGGCCCTCTGTCCAGCACAGGCCCTTGTCTGCATATTGAAGGAGCATCTCCCGTGGGAGAAGAAAGGACCTGGGGTCTTGCTCCCTCCAGGACTCTGAGGGCTGCACCCCTCCCAGTGCCGAGAACGCTCTGGAGGGTGGTAGTGTAGGAAGGTGGCATGTGAGTTCCACCCAGGCAGCCTGCGGGCGAGGGTGTGGCTGAGAGTGTGTGTGAATGTGTGTACATGTGCCCACGCATGCTGGGGGGGGTGCGCATACCCTCACCCTCACGGGGTGGGAGGGGGTACTCCAGGGAGTGTGGCTCCTCCTTGGCATCTGGCTGAAGACTCTTGCCTGTCAGACTGCAGGGCAACACACCACACTGCGCTCCCACCTCCAGCCCTGCAGGAAACCGGGGACCCAGGCCCACTGGACGAATGAGGCCTGAGGAGAGGCAAGAGGGTGCCCAAGAGGGTGCCCGCAGGCCCTGCGGAGAACAGCACAACAGCTGGCCCGGCTGCCGCAGCCCTGGGAGCCAGCCTTGCTGAGTTTTCCTTTGCACTCCATTAATTTGCAAGTAGGCTGCTTTGTAAGCGTTCTTTTGTCTTTTCCCCCTGCCTGTCCTGACTCCCTCACCCAACCTGGGCTCCTGGGGGGGGGGGGGGCTGCCTTCATCCTTGGCTCCTGGGCAGAGGCCCAGCCATTAGCACCCCTGTGTGTAGGGGCTGAAGGAGCTGGTACTGTGATAGGCACAGGGCTTGCTGAAAGGTGTAAGGCGCAATGCTCCGTGACCAGGTCAGACTGGCCCAGAGTGATATGGGGCAGGAACAGGAGTCAGACTTCCTGCCGGAAGTCTCCATTCCCTCTGCACACTGCCCTGTCCCTCTGCCACAGAGCTGTGGGGCTCACGGCCAACAAGCATGCTCTTTTTATCCAGGTTGCCTCTCTGTCCCTGTCCTGCCCAGAGAGAGCCCTCAATCTTCGTCGGACCAGCTCAACCCTCTCCTTTGGAAGCGGGTCATCCCTGCGGCCAGGGCCCTGGGGGTCCCCTCCCCTCCCCTTGAGCTCACCTTGGCCCTGTCCACACACTGTCTGGTCTCACCTATAGCTGACCTGGGTGTGGGTCTCGCCAGTCTCCCTTATCAAAACACAGGCTCCCTGAGGTCAACAGGGTGGGCCCCAAGGCATGCCCACGCTGTGATGTGATGGCCTCTCAAGAGCCCAACCTTGCAGCCACACTCGGGAGCCATGCCGGCCCTGCCATCTCCTAGTTCGGATCCTCTGTGAAGAGGAAAGGCGGAGGGCACTTACCCTACCACATTGCTCATTCATTCCACAAACCCGGGCATCCAGTCTGTGCCAGGGACAAGCTGGATGCTGTGCTGGGCAGTGAGCAAGACTGGCTGCCAACCCCTCCCTAGGAGATTGCACCCCAGCAGGCAGACCGACAGTGAGCGAAGAGATCAATTGCCCATGCATGGGTCAGGGCTCTGAAGGAAAGTAAGGTAGGTGAGGGGGCATGGGCCAAGGTGGTGGGCACCGTCACTGGGGAAAGGGGGGCAATCAGCAAGAGGGGCGTCCAAGGAGAGGGCATTGGAGCAGAGGCTGACTGCGGAGAGCATGAGGGTGTAGAACAAGCTGAACAGGACTCCTCAGATAAGATATAAATACATGTGGGGGG